AGGGAAAGACCTTCCAAGGCCACAGTCCAGAGCAGTGCCTGCCTCCTGCCTCCCGGGGATTCCCTCTTCGGGCCCTCGGCCTCCCCCATTAGCTGTCCCCACCCAGGATGGGCCCAGGTGAGGGCGTGTGGGAAATGGTGCAGTAACCTGCCCTCCCTCCTCACACTAGCCACCTGTGACCTGGGAGAGGAGGGCAAACGTGGGCACCTGTGAGTCGCCCGCTTCTTGTGGAGGGTGCAGCAGAAGGGGCGCTGGCATCTGGTCTTGGCCACGTCATGGACCCACTGTGATCTGGGCCGTCCCTGTCCTGAGCCTGTTCCCCACCTGCACAGCGGAGATGACTCAGAACCTGTATCTACTGAGAACATTGTGAGATTAAATTTACAGCTTAATAAAAATGAGTGGCTGACCCTGAGCTCCAGACGTCCGTCTCCTGGTTTGGGCGGGGCGAGGCTGTCTCCCTCCTCTCCCCCGAGCTCTCTCTCCAGGTCCGGCTGGGGTGTCTGCAGCATGATCTCCCTTCCCTTCAACTCAGGCCTCTCTGGGACTCTGAACACATTCCTGTCCCCCCTGTGGCCAGCCCTAGGCCATGTCCCACACTGGACTCACTCTTCCCTGTCCTGCTCATCTTCCTGGGCCCTGCCATCATGGAATGGTCCCCCGTCCGCTCTGGGACAGAGCCAACTCACCGGCCTCCTGCTCGACACTCCTTGAACCTCCCAAGTCCCACCTTTCAGCAAGTCCTGATGATCTGTAACACCACACGCTTCCACAACCCAAACACTAACAAGTGCTGCGCCCAGGGCTGTCCATCAACCGCCCTCCCTCCAGGCCCAGCCCTTCTCCTCAGCACACCCACTGATCTTCGCAAAGCTGGGGGACCACGCCAGCCCTCGGCCTGAATCTCTTCAGTGGCTCCCTGCTGCCCACAAGTCTGGACTGGCAAGTCTTTGGAAAGCTCTGCCACGACCCTGTGCCAAAACACGTGGCCCGTCCTTGTCCTCTTCTAAGCCACGTGACCTGTCCTTTTTGGGAAGTCTTCTGCACACATGCCCCGCATGCTCTCTCTGCCCTTCTCGACCTGCTCAACTTCTACTCATGTTCGGCTTGGACATCACGTCCTCCAAAGCCTCCCCTGACCACCTCCCACTCCCTCACACACGCCTGCGGTCTCAAGGGCGTTCTCAGTGTCCACTGCCTTCGGGGTCCTTCTGCCACACAATTCCCTGAGGGGAAACACAGGTTTGGTGACTGTTAAGGGACGGGGCTCCCGAGTCATAGAGATCTAGCACCTCGCAGCTCTATGGATTGGGCAAAGTTATTAAACAAGTCTGTGCCTCAGTTTCCCATCGGTAGAGCGAGAATAATCGTTCCTCCATCCAGGGCTGCTGTAAGAATTAAATGAAACCTCTTGGGTGAAAGGTGAGCATAGAGCAGGCGGGATTACTGCCGGCTGCGATTCTCAACACCATCATCACAAACACCCTGCGGAGACCAAGCGTCTCCAGCAGCCCAAGGCGCCGGGTCAAACCCGGAGCCGCTTCCTGAACCACGTCCGGATGTCCCGCCTCTAGCGGCTCGGGAATCCTCGCTTATTGGCCTGTCTGATCCAACATGGCGACGCTCTACGCAACTTCAAGCGCCCGCTTTGCTCCAGCCAATTGGAGGAAAGATGTTTCGGATCCCGCCTCTGTCAACTCACCACTGGCCAATCAGACCACACCATGGAGGGTCAGCGCGGAGGAGGCGAAGCCAGCCAGCTCAATGGCAGCGTCCTCGAGCGTAGGCTCCGCCTCTCGGAGGACAGGCCGCTGGGTACCGGGAAGGAGCGGCAACGCTTCAAGGTGGGTGTTCGCGGCGTGGCTGTTAAGGCCGCGCCTGGGCAGCGCGGCGTCGGGGGCGAGTGTGATGTTCCCGTTGGCCTTGCCGGCTTTGTGCCAGGCCTCATCTCGTCCCACTCAGGAGCCGCAGGCCCTGTGTCCTTCAGCATGCAGCGGGCGGGCCGGGACGCCGGCATCCTCCGGGCGCATGCGCCGCCGGCGTCCTTGGGGTCAGAGGTCATGGGGAAGGTCGAGGAAGGTGTTGAGTTGGGCGCCTGGTATTGAAGTCAGTGGTCAAAAGAAATGGGCCCGTTAGAGGTCACAGGTCACGGTAGGCCACTCTCGAGCCCGGGCTAAGTGCCGGGCTCTGGGCTAAACCCTTGGCATATACAAAGCCCCTACATTCTCATGACCCCCCATTTCACAGAAAACAAGCCAGGTGACTCACCTGCTCAAGGTCATTTGGCAGTCTGGGAGACTGTTCCACAAGAGCCTTGATGCTGGGGAAAGGAACTTGATCATGAGGGTTATTTAAGCCTCATGGGTTAAATCAAGGGTTTCCAGCAGGGGAGGGCTGGGGGTGTAAAAGGAGGGGTCTGGCCTGGCTTCAGTTCCTGATCCCAACCCCCTAGTGTGTGGCTTTGGGCCAGTCACTCAACAGGACTGATATGCAGCTTCTCATCTGTGCCTCTCTCATGGGTCCCTCGTAAGGATAAAATGACAGTGCATGTGGCCCCTGGCACAGTGAACTTTCAGTAAATGCTGGCGGGAGAATAAATGGGAGGGGAGAAATGGGAGGGATGGGCGGTAGGAGGGATGGATTTTAAAGATTTCTTAAAAGGTGAAAAAATAGATAGAACTTGGGATCCACAGTACTTCCTAAATCTTAGCCCAGCGGAGCTGGGTCAGGTCGGAAGGCTGGGAAGGCCACACCTAAGAACAGGAAGGCCATCTGTGCCTCTAACAGGAATGGGACAAGATGACACAGTGCCACTGAGGTCAAGGGTCAGGGCTCCTGCAGTGTCAGAGTCCTGGGGGGCCGGGTCTGGGACCCACCGCACCTCCCGTGCTTTTCATGCTGACAGATGCGCTGCCTGACTACACCCACGCTGCTTCGGGCCCTGGTCCAGGCCGCACACACAGGTAGGACCAAGGGAGCCTTTCCCGGGCCAGGGGGAGCACAGTGTCCCAGCACAAGGTTGCAGCTACACAACATAACCTCTCTCCTTGCAGGGCATTCTAGTGGCCGGAGCCTGCACAGCGGCGCAGTGGCAGCCACCTATAGTGAGTCCAGGGCACCTGGAGTCTCAGGCTTTCCCGATCATGGTCCTGCCAGAGGCAGAGGAGGAGGCCTGGCTTTGCCGGGGGCTCCCCCTCTGAGCTTCAGTTTCCACTCTGTAAAATGAGGATGATGATCAAGATTGATATGATTCATGGCACAGTTTGTCATTGCAAGGGCTGAGGTGCCCTCCCTATGGCTACACAGTGTGATCTCAGAGATCCCCTCTGTGGGGCAGGGAGGGAGCTGCCAAGTGTGAGCCCTGGGTGCCCATGCATCTTCACCAGGACCCCACCACCCAAGCCTTCCCAGCCCCCTCTACTCCTGGCCTCTAACGGCCAGACAGGCACAGGGAGGAGTGGGTGAGGACTGCCTGAGGCCAGAGGCCGAGGGGGGAAGGTTTGGTGAATGAACAAGCCCCCGGAGGGCCCACCTGTTGTCCCAGGCGGGAAGGCCAAGACTCATTTCCCTCAGCTGGATTCCTGGTGAGGCGGGGAGGCTGTGGGACACCCCATCCCCACCACCAGCACAGCCTACAAGCCTCCGTCCCTGGCAGAGTACGTGAACGCGCAAGAGCCCTCCATGGACATGAAGTCGGTGACTGACCGGGCAGCTCAGACCCTGCTGTGGACGGAGCTCATCCGAGGTGGGCCCTGGGGGCGGGGCTGGGTGGGCTGGGGGTGGGCACCGGTGGCCAGGGAGGAGAGGCCCCACCCACCATGCCCGTGCTGCTCACAGGCCTGGGCATGACCCTGAGCTACCTGTTCCGGGAGCCAGCCACCATCAACTACCCGTTTGAGAAGGGCCCGCTGAGCCCGCGTTTCCGCGGGGAGCACGCGCTGCGCCGTTACCCATCCGGGGAGGAGCGCTGTATCGCCTGCAAGCTTTGCGAGGCCGTCTGCCCCGCCCAGGTGAGCCCCCGACCCCGACTGACCGTCACCCAGCCCCTGCCACTGGCAGAGGGAAGCAGAGCAGCCCTGGGCCCGAATGCCATCCCCTTGCTGGGTGTGTGAAAACCCCTTTCCTTCCCTGAGCCACTTCCCCTACCCGTGAATGGGAACCATGTCACTGGGCTGACTCAGAGTCAGTGAATCCTGAGTCAGCAGGATGAAGCTTCCAGCCCTGAGCAGACCACGTGACACGAGTGGGTCCTCCCCGTGGGGGTCTGGTCAGTGGCATGAAACCCAGGCCTGTGTACCTGTCTCAGAGCCACACCCAAGGTCACACACCGCAACCAAGGCCCTTGCTGCCCCTGGTTGCCGTTCCGTTGAACCCCGGCATTCGGTTCTGTGGGAGGGTCCTGCACAGACGTCCTGCACTCAGGGCCTGTTAGTGTAGAAACAGAAGGACCACGGCGCACAGATCCATGGCACGCCCGGCAGGAGCCCCAGCAGGCACGGCGCTTACTCTGTCCACACAGTGACTCTATTCCAGTGGCTGCTCCTGAGCCATGTCTACGTGGCTTAGGACGGCTGCTGTCCTAGCTCACCTCCTGGACCGCTCCCAGGTCCTCCAGGCCACGGGCCTTGATGTCTTCAGTCCAGCCAGCAACCTGGAGCACATAGGAGAGCCCCAAAACAACAACAGTGAGGGCTCCCCGGTAGCAAGCGCCGTCCGCAGACCGGGCCCTCGGCCAGGGTCATGACTTATCTTTACGACAGCTCTGGGAGGTAGAGATTGTCATCCGCATTTTTATATATGAGGAAACCGAGGCAAAAGAGGCGGAGCTACCAGCCAAAGGTCCCACCGTGCACGGCGGGCATTACGCTCCTGGGGAGGTGTGAGGGCCTCGGCCACACCCCTTTGTGAGGGTCCCCCTGCCTGTGGGAGGCCCCAGACCACCCCTTGCGCCAGCTGGCACAAGGCTATGCCCAGGAACTGAGACCTAAGGACTGGCCTTTGAGTTTGGGCTCTGCCTTTCATTTGCTGTGTGGCTTGAGGAAGCCCCTCAGCCTCTCTGAGCCTCCATCTTCTCATCCATCAATTGGGAAAACTAAACGTAAGTGGGAGAGTTCACCATAAATCCAGCAGGAACTGAGAACGTGCTACAGGTTGTGACCCCTCGGGGCTCCAGGTTCTGTAGCAAACGACGCAGGCCACAGCCCTCCCCTTGTGGGACTTGTGTTCTTGGGTTAATGAACAAACAAAACAGTCATCCAGGGCAAGTGCTAAGAAAAGGTTGGCATGAAAGATGTGACAGGCACGCTGTCGGGGGAGGAGTCAGGAAAGAGATCTGCCCTGTAGGCCCCCAGGGAATGAGCCCCCCAGAAGGGGACAGGCGTGTGCAGATGCGGGGGTGGGAATGAGCAGTGAGGGCTGGACCGTGGGCCCGGAGCTTGGCGTGGCTGGCAGGCGGCAGTGCCCTGCGCCACTCCCCAGGCCATCACCATCGAAGCCGAGCCTCGGGCTGACGGCAGCCGCCGGACCACCCGCTACGACATCGACATGACCAAGTGCATCTACTGTGGCTTCTGCCAGGAGGCCTGCCCCGTGGACGCCATCGTCGAGGTGAGCAGGCCCCAGGGTGGGGGATGCCAGGGCAGAGGCGCCTGGGAGGGACCTGACATGGCCACATCTGCACTGCCACCTGCAGGGCCCTAACTTCGAGTTCTCCACGGAGACGCATGAGGAGCTGCTGTACAACAAGGAGAAGCTGCTGAACAATGGGGACAAGTGGGAGGCTGAGATCGCTGCCAACATCCAGGCCGACTACCTCTACCGGTGACACTCCTGCCCGGCTGGCCCGCAGCCCCTGCTGCCCAATAAAGAAGCTCTGCTCTCCCCCACTGCCTCTGTCTGCCAGCTGTCTGGGCCGGGTTGGCTGCAGCCTACCCTTGGCCTGTGGGTTCCTCCACTGGACCAGGTCCCTTACTGGGCTCCATCGAGCTGGCCCAGCCTTCCTGTGAGATCTGTGGGACCTGGGGCCGGGCCTTAGCCCACAACAGCCCTGTTGGCCACATGTCTTCCCGGACATATTCCCCAGGGCTCAGAAGGCTGGCTGTCAGCTCAGGTCTGTTCCCGTAACCTGGGTGTCTATCGCTGGGGCCTGGGCCTGCCCTCTCCTGAGCACCACCCACAACTAAGACCCCTATGTCGGAGAGCTTCCCTGGGTCTCAAGTGGAAGAACATGAAGTAGCAGAAACTCAGAAAGGCCCGATCATCCTTGTTGAAGGGCAGGGGGTAACAGTCACAAGGCAGTGACACAGGCCCTGCTGCCCCTGAGCTGGCCTTGCTTCACCTCCAGCCACATCCCCTTTCCTCCCCAAGTTCCCCAGACAAGGCTACTGGCTTGGCTTCTGCTCGGGACTTCCTGCTCTGCAGTCCCAGCAAAGTGCTGTGGTTCCCTCTGGCCCACACACAGGCCCAGTGCCCATGGAATAGCCAAAAACAGCCTCCTCGACCTTGGTGCTAAGCATGGGAAAGAATTTCAGCACATTCTCAGCAGTGGGGGAACTGGCTCAGAGGCGAAGCGACTTGCTCAGGATCACACAGCCTATGTCGGATGAGAAACTAAGGTCCGAGCTCTCAGTACCCCTCCATCATTTGCAAAAGTGCTTTTTACAGAACACTAATCTCCCAAGTTGCTTCTCGGATATGGTGGGTGGGTGTTCCATGGGACCAGTAAGCATGGGACGTGCTCCCAGTGCCGTCACATGGACAGATACTGCAAGTTACCGTAGTCAAGGCTCTGAGAAGGTCTGCAGCAAAGAAACAGTCCTTCCCAGCTCACTGCCAGGGGACCCTTTTCTCAAATCATGACACCTGGGCCAGGCCAGGCCCTACCACTGGCCAAGGCTTTGGGGCCCCCACAGCCTGAGGAGCAGGGAATAGTGAGCAATAAGTGCGGGGCCCGAAGGGAGGCCCAGGAGGTCCATGAGTCCAGCCCGCTGCTAGTCCTGAGGGATGGGAGCGCCTCAAAAACAACAGTCACGGTGCGCTTTAAAGCCCCAAATCACTTCGAATTTTGTTTTTCTCGGACAACCAACATTACAGTGGAACCTGCATCTGTACACGGATGAGTAGAATACTTTCATTAAGCAGGTCAGACTATACCCAGCTCCTGACATGATTCTTTTCCTCACTGACATGTGTCAGAGGCATTTTTCTCTTAACAGCCTTTTGTAATGTGGTTGAGCCAGTTCCTCCTGTCCTGGGCAGGACCGACCTGAGACCCTCCACTGGTGCTGTCAGGTTGTGTCAAGGGTCCCCTCTGAAAACAGCCCTATGACGTCCTCAAACACGTCCCCCACTGTTCTTGGATGCTGACCTTAGCTGTGACTCAGTTTCCAGTCTGGGCTCGGGGGCTCCATTTGCTCATCCTCTCGCACCCCTCAGAGGCCCTTGAAGTGAGGGGTTCAAGGATCACCAGAGCCGACGGGCCCCTGGTCCCCAGTAAATATGGTCCTGGCCTGTCCAAAGTGCAGGCAGCAGGAAGCCGTGAGCCCGAGCTCAGGGGTGCTGGGACATGGCGAACCTCCCAGAGCTAAATTGGAGCAAGGTCATTAGGACAACCCAGCAGCAGATGGAGTGACAGCTAAGCACAGAGCATTGCTCAGCACCTGCTGGGTGCAGGGAGGAAGGGGAAGAACACGACCGTGGCCTGGTCCTCAATGTCCTGCTGCCACTGAGGAAAGAGGCCCAGAAAGGGGCAGCCACCCGCCAAGGACACAGAGCACTAGGCCTGGAGCCCAGGGCCCTAACCCGGGTCATCAGGCAGAAAGGTGTAAGGATCGGGTGTAACTGCGGCCTTAAGTAAGGGGAGGGGGTCCCAGAAGTGGGGGAATGTGCTAGTATTGAACCCCAAGCTTGAGCCATAGGCCCAGGGAGCCCCCTTGGTGGCGGAGGTCCCCTTCCCTAGCCCTCCTAGCTGGGCTTGCTGTCAGTGCTAGACGTGAGCACTTCGCGCACTGGTCAGTGTCTCTGCTCCCGTCTCCACTGCCTCCTCGCCCCGCGGCCCCGAATGGTCGGTCTCCCAACTTCGGGGGGCGGGGGTGGAAGCTTGGCCAGCGCGAGGTCACAGCTCAGACACTGTCTCCCTGCCTGCAGCTCCCACGCCTCCCGGTTGAGGCCCGGGGAGGGGCGGGGCTTCACTGGCCCCGCCCCAGGCCCCGCCCGCGGGGGAAAGTGAGTTCCGTGGGCGCCGCAGCCGGGATCGCAGAGCAGGGAGCCCAGAGCCGAGTGGCGCCGCGTACGGCTGACCTGAGGGTGAGTGCCCCAGCCGGGTGTCAGTTCTTGCTGGGGGCCGCAGAGGCCGACAGGGGAAGGAGAAGGAGGAGGATGGGGTGTTCATAGCCGCTAACAACTACCGAGCCCAACTCGGCCAGGCCTGGCGGTGCTCAGAACTGTTCTCTGCTGCGCCTTCCTCGTTGGGAGGGACCCATTCTACAGATGAGGAAACAGGCCCACCCAACGAGGAAGAGGCAGCTAGAAGCGCGCGGGGTCATTCCGACTCCAGATCGCACCGATCTGGACAGGAGGAGGTGGCAGACCCTGTCCTCTAGCCAGGCTCATCATCGTGGACCAGAGGCTCCAAGGAGAAACCTGCTGGCTTCCTGGAGGAGTTGGCCTTAGCCTCCAGCCTCCCGAGGGACCAGGAGGAGAGGGGCGCAAAGTGAGGAGTGAGCTGGACCCTGAAGGCCACAGGACTAGATACCTTCATTTGCTCTTTAAACAGGACTGAGGTGGCCCCTGGCTCCGGCTGGGGCCGAAGAAGATGAGGGGTGTGAGTTAGGGGAAGGGTCTGGCCAGGTCTCTACACACCCGTGCCCACCACAGCTTGTCCCACCCAGCGAAGTGCCCAGGCCCGAGCGCCCTGTGAGTCAGGGCCACCAGGCTGGATTTGCCACAGCAGCTGCCCAGGGCTGCTGCACTCTGCATCCTGTAGCTGGCTTCCTATAGTGCCCCGTTTGGCCAGCCCCCTTTTAGCGTGCCCTGGGTAGAGAACAGCCCTCCGCTGAGCACACACTGGGCGCTCAGACTTTCAAAGCTGCAGCCCCACGCCTGGCTCCTGCCTGACTTGGCCACCTGTTGATATCTGACGCTGGACTTCACCTCTCCAGGTCTCAGTGGACCCATCTGTAAAACTGGGCTGCAGTGCCTCGTCCCTCCAGGATTGTTGTTAGGTTTAAGTGATGTAGTAGGGTGAAGGGCTTACGTGGGGGCTGTGGTTATTTTTGTCATCTCCATACCTAGGTCCTGTCTCTGCTGGGGGCGGCCAAGTCCTATTTACCCAAAGAGGAAGTAGAGGCCCAGAGAGGGCAAGAGACTACCTCGAGATCACACAGCCAATCACAGCTTGGGCAGAGCTCCAAGCCCTGGTTCTTGACCCTCTGGGGATAGAACCTGCCCT